TTGTTATTTTAATTGCAAAGAGGAAGGAAGGATTTGAGTAGAAATCATCCTTAAAATGCTCACATGTTCCTGTGCAAGATGAGAGTTTTCCTTAGGTAGGTTTTGAATCAGTACCTTTTGTGTGAGTAAAGGGCAAGGCCCAGAGTTGCTGCAGAGGACTCAAAAAGGCTTTATTGCATGGGGAGTGGGAGTAATGACTTTTACTTTAAAAATAGAAAAAAAAATAGGGCTAATGAAACAAGACATCTCCATAAGAAATAATTATTTATAACAAGTAATTTTTCTATTACAAATGACAGGTTTAAATAGCACTCCTAGAAATATCACTTACATCTCTCCTTTTTAACTGAATTGTGTCTGGTGCATTCTGGGTGAGTCTATTTGCTGTTTGTCCCTTTCTTTTGTTCATAGTGTGTGTGTGTGTGTGTGTGTGTGTGTGTTTGTGTGTGTAACTCACCTTTATTTTTATGGTCTCTAAATTTTGTTATGCTTAAAAAGACCTTCAAGTTTATAAAAAATTTACCCCTATTTTCTCTAATGTTTTTGTTGTTTTCACTTTTTACATTTAAATCCTAAATAACTGGGGGTTATATATTAGTGTGAGGGTTTGGATAAAGAGCAAGATTTATTTTTCCAAATGGCTAGCTAGTTGTTTTAATAGCATTTATTGAGAATCTATCTTTCCACCAAGAAGTTAAAATTCACTTTTATGTTATACTCAATGTTTTTGTTTTTTGGGTCTGTTTCTTGGTGCCCTTCCTTTTCATTCATCTATTGGTCTGTTTTTAAATCAATACCAGACTATTTTAATGACCACAGTTTTGTAGTATGCTTTGATAATGTTAGATAAAACCCCACCCCTCCGGCCAACCCATCTATCCCCTCTGCCCCACTTTCTTTTTCAAAAGTACATTGTAATTTTTTTTTTAGTTAATGCATTTCTTAAATAGCTTGACTTAATACCTCACTTTGCTTTACTAACTGAAATGAATGTTTCCCTTAAAAAAATATTATCCAGAGAGTGAGTTTTAGTGCTGCTCACTCTAGTGAAGTAGGGCAGAGCTATGCCAGCTTTGTAAAGACAGTATCCTTTTGTTCTCCAGGACTTCTGTTGAGAAATGATATGGTCACTGGTGCTTTAGCTCCCTCTAGCAAACACCCCTCAGCCAAATGGAAAAGCCCCTTTGACATTTGAGCAGGATTTCTGGAAACTTGGCCATGTCTGCAGACAAGATCTCTTCTAAAGCTTAATTACATGATTTAGGACATATTCCATCTGAGATATTACTGCTTTCACATTCTGAGCTGCTGTGACCATCCCATTAAAAAAAAAAAAAAAAAAAAAAAGAGCCAAGGAAAGTCTTTTAAAAAGCAGCTAGCTAGCTGAAAAGAGTTATAAACACTGGTTAATCCATTAATGTCTGATTCTTTTAAATACCCATTTTTGAATGCCCATGTAGGTCAACTTTGGTTTAAAAAAATCAGCTCTAGCCAGTTTGGTTCAGAATGCTCCAGACTGAGACTTGGGAATCTGTAGTTTAAAAAACGACATACAACCGAAACCAGTTTGGCTCAGTGGATAGAGCGTCGGCCTGCAGACTGAAAGGTCCCAGGTTCGATTCTGGTCAAGGGCATGTACCTTGGTTGCGGGCACATCCCCAGTAGGGGTTGTGCAAGAGACAGCTGATCGATGTTTCTCTCTCATTGATGTTTCTAACTCTCTATCCCTCTCTCTTCCTCTCTGTGAAAAATCAATAAAATCTATCTATCTATATCTATATCTATATCTATATCTATATCTATATCTATATCTATATCTATATCTATATCTATATAAAGATTGCTCTAAAAGCAAAAATAAAAACAAAAACTACATACATCAGTTAATTCTAATGGATTTGACCATTGAATCAGAGTTTGGGGAACCACTGTGAATTACACTAGTTTACTCTCACTAATCTCTAAAATGGTGCAGTAAAATAATGATATTTCATATCATTGTTAACCTAATAAATGAATCTTTATTGTGTGCCAGGCACTGTGCTAAGAGCTTTTTATTACCTCATATAATTCTCATAACAATCCCGTGAAGTAGATACTATATTATTCTTATATTACATGAGTAAACTGAGGTACAAAGAGGTTAAATTAGTTGATAAAAGTCATTTCAGCTACCAAGTGTAGAGAATGAGCATGTCAACTACTGCAGTTAATATGAAGATTATATTAGGTAATGTATTTAAAGCACTGACACACAGTGGGTACTCAATAAATGCTTTATTTTCTCTTCAGTTTACCTATGTGATTCTATTTATGCCCAGTGAATTTTAGATTGCGGACCTTTAACAGTGCCCAGAGAACTGAAACTTTAATATTCTAGAAGTCAGACAATAAAGGGGAATTAGATATCAGTGGAAAATGGTGGTGTTTGGAATCTGTAACAGAGAGAAACACAAAAGCATCTACATTAATAAAAGAGTAAGATGCAAATTGACTGTATCTTCATGAAGCCCATGAACCAATCATGAGTGAGTATGCAAATCAACCAAAGATGGTGGGTTAATTTGCATACACCGGCACTGAACAGCCGGGGGTGGGGCATGATGCTTGCATTGTTGCCATGGTGATGACACAGCCATTCCTGCATGGCCCCAGCTGCTCCAGGCCTCTGGACAGCATGGGAAGGTGGAAAGGCAGCTCCAAGCTAGAGCAAAAAGATAGCTCCGGCCCCAGCGAAGGTGCTTTTGGCAGCCGGGGGAAGGAAGGCCCATTCATGCACGAATCTTCATTCATAGGGCCTCTATATATATATGGGAGAACAGGTACACGTGAGCAGAAACAGCAGCATGACCACTGAGGCCATAGAGTTATTGTGAGGATAGGAAAAGAGGGAAACCAAGGCATGATGACAGAACCACATCATCTCAAGGGGCAGGGTCCTAAACAGACACCTATCCAGCCCTTCTGCCACGTGGTTCAGTTCTTACTTGGATATTTTCCAACTTATCAAGGCAGGAGAGGCTCTAATTGTTAGAAAATTTTCGTCTTCATATTCATGTAGGGTTTCTACATATAGGCCCCCTTTATACTCATAGGGCCTGAAGAATAAGTCTAATTTCTATTTGACAGTTCCTCAAATATATGAAGACAGTTACCTTGTACCACCTGGGGCAAAATCTTCTGCTTCCTTTAATCTTTCCTCATATGACATCTTTACATTCCTCTCTTTACATCCCCAGCTTCTTTACATCCCTCTGTGCATGTAGAAAATTTTTCTTTGCCAAGCCCTACTTGGAGACAATGTTCAATGTGTATAATGACCAGCAGCACTGGGCAGCACTGTAAAACTAATCACTGGGCAGCACTGTAAAACATATCATACTTCTATCAATGCAGCCTAAGACAGCACTCATTTATTTTGGCAGCCACACTTCACTGAGGACTCAGATTGAGTTGTCTGTCACCTAAGATCCTTTTAGACTTGGTCTTACATGCAATTATTAAGATACCTCTGCTGCTGTCCTCTCTTTCAGCAGTTGGTTGCCCAGGTCAGGACCCCCCACATTTATCCCTGTTAGAGTTGGTCCATTTGACTTGTGCTGTGTAATGGTGTCGCTTCCCCTCCTGGCTTCGTGTCATCTGGAGATGTGATGCAAACCCTCTGGGGTTTCATTCAGAACACTGATAAAAGTCCTGACATTTGGGCCCTGGAGAGAGCTTTATGTCATCCTGATGGTAACTGGTATGGTATGGTATGAAGGTTCTACAGTCAAACAAACCTGGTTTGAACTATGGCTCTGCCACCTACTGTGTGACTTGGACTAGCTAAGCTAAACTCTGAGTTCCAGTTTCCTCATCTGTAAAATGGGGCTATGAGGATGAAGGGGAAAGATGCAGGGAAAGCACTTAGCACAGTGTAGATGCTGCACAAATATTGATTCTCTTCACCCTTTGTTCTGGTCAACATGGATTCGTTAATCAGCATCTTTTGGTTGTGGTTACTTAACCAGTTATTCATCCAATTGATTATACTAGAATCCAGGTCCATATTTCCTCATCTTATCTACACTATCTTAAAAAGTGCATTGCTAAAATCCCGCTAACATACAGTAGTCTCCTCTTGAAATCCAGGCAGAGTCAAAGTAAAAAGCAGTATGATTCCACTTGCGTGAAAACTTAGGAAAAGTAATAAGCTACCAATGAAGCTGGTTGACCTTGAAAACAGTCAACACCTGGGCCACTGGCAATATTGGGCAACCACTCTGTGCCTGGCAATGAGCTGGGAATATGCAAAAGTTGTACAATGATTAATTGCAATGTCTGTGTTCAAGGAATAAGGCTAGCAGTCTTAGGGGCTAATCTGGGTCACAGAATTAAGTGCAGTGATTTATGGAGAGGGCTCTTACTCAGTGCCATCTCACCCCTGTTAGATGCTAAAAGGGGTGTGGATGAGTATAATAATAATAATAATAGTAATAATAATAAAAGACACCACCGTCCTTTGTATTCAGGGAACTTAACTTCTGGAAGGGGTGGGAGTTCTTTGTGCCAGAGGCCCTCTGCTGAGCGCTTGAAATGCAGAAGACAGATTCTGTCCGCTCAGTATTCAAGTTGTATCTTATTATGAAATGATTATTTTCTGTAACTATTTGTTCCTGTCTGTCTCACTCAGGGGGCAGATGTTTGCGGTAGAGACAAAGGCTGTTGGGATGCTGTCTGCCACACAGTAGGTGGTCAAAACCCAGCTACTGGATGAAAATACAGTGGAATCGCTCCAGGTTTCAGTTTTCATTTTTGAACGAGAATAACAGCTCCAACGAGACGCTTGGAGGTCAGAGTAACGATGAGAAGGTAAGAACACTTGGATGGAAAAGCCTTCTAGAAATACTAAGTATTCGTTCCCGCATTTGGACTTTGGCAAACCAGGATGTTTTAGGCACTAGAGTTCCTAAAATTGATTTCCTCGACAGAGTTGGAGGAAGGGAAGTGAGACAATGCTTTTAAGTCAGGGTGCCCCAAATAAAAGACGGAGAAGGAGGAAAGGTGGCAGAGGTGAGCCAGCCGCCAACCACGGACCCAGGGAAGAGGGACAACGCGGGCGCCAGCAAGGATGCGGATTCTGCACCCGCAGGGACATCGCGAGTGACAGACCTGAGGGACAGGGAGAGCGCAGGGGCGAGGAAATCCAGGGAAAGCACGAAGATTGGCCCTCCGCTCGGGGCGTGCGCTTCTGTGTGCCAAGCGATTGGTGGCGGGAAAGTGGCAGGTAAACCAGCCCCCGCCGCCTCGCCATTGGCCAGAGGCCTCTCCGGCAGCCACACAACTGGCCAGCGGAGTGCTGAGCCGTGCGCGGATTGGCCGGGGGCAAGGGCTGAGGCCGGCTTGCTTCGGGCGCTCCGATTGGCTGGCAGGAAGAGGCAGGTATCCGGCCTCCGCGTCTCCTCCATTGGTGGGCGTGGAAAGGGGGCTGGGCACAGCGATTGGTGGGCGGGGGGCCGGGCCTGGGCCGGCGGGGAGCGGATTGGTCGGAAAGTAGGTTAGTGGTGCGACATTTAGGGAAGGCAGAAAGTAGGTCAGGGACGGAGGTGCCTGTTTACCCGCGCCGGACTCACCGCCGCCGCCGCCGCGGGATCCGAGTGGGGGCGCGGGCGCGGGCGCTCCCGGCGAGCCACGGTGAGTGTCGGGCTGGCCGCGGTCAGCTGCATGGCCCCGAGCACCCCACCGGGGGCCGTTAGCACCTTGGCAGGCGCAGCGACCCTGCCACCGCCCGGGTCGCTGCCCGGCCGCCCGGGAACCTTGCCCGACGTGCCCGCTGCCGGCCTTAAAGGGCCCGTGCCCGCTCCCTGCCCCCACCGGGGCCATGAAGAGGCTGCGCCCCTTAAAGGCGCCGCGCCCGTCCGCCCTCCTCATCCCTCGCGGGAGCCGGCGCTGCGGGGTGGGAAGGGCAGAGGTGCCGCAGGCGTCCCTAAAGGGACCGGGAAAGTACCTACGTCTTCTCCGCGGGCATCGCTACCTGACGCAGGGAGGGAGCATCCAACTGCCCCTTAAAGGGACAGCTCCGCCTTTTGGGAGCAATGACCGACTGAAAGCGAGTCCTAGAATGCGTCCCCGGAGCTGCGTGGACCCCGGAGGGGTCTATCTTGGACGGCTGCATCCCCAAGGGCGTTGGGCGAGCGATGCCAATTCTGCCCTTCCTCCGCCTCTCCTTCACTTCCCTTTCGGGAGCCTGCAGGGCTGGGTGGGGGCGGGGAGGGCGTCTCCTTCGGGCTTAGGGAGTCCGAGCCCGCCCGCCCCTTTGGCCCTAATCGCCGGGGCTAGCGCTGCACCCGGGAATCCCCGGTCCGAGATGGGGCCGACCCTAACCTGCGAACTTTGTCCAGCCTGAGCCGTCTGGGTTCTGGGCAGCCCCGGGAGGGACCCTTCTGGGTATGCGAGCAGGTGCCCCCCCGGCGCGGAGCTGTCACCCGGCGTCCAGGTGTGGGTGGGCCCGCCGCCGGTCGTGGAGCCCTGAAGCGCCGCGGTGGGCGCAGCGAGCCTGGCTTTAGCACCAGCTTTGACAGATGTCAGAGGATAAAAAGGTTCCCGTTCTTGATTGCCGGGGTGTTGACAGCCAAAAGAGCTTTCGTTTGCTCTGAGGAAGACATAGAATAGACATTAATACCGACCTTATGGGGCACGAGTCTCCAGGGGTCGGGAGAGCTGGCTGCGGGACGCACGCAGGTGCCGGCGGCGCTCAGATATGGGAAGGGCTACCCCAGCATTTGGCGTCTGTTGTCAAGTTTATCTTGGCCGGTGGGGGCACCAGGCTGACGCCCCTCACACCACATTCCCTGTTCCCTTTTCCCTCCCTCATGAGCTAAGGGTCCTTCTCAGGCACCTAGCGTTGTTTTGGCATTTTGGTGCTTGTGATCCCTCTGCTTATGTAGTTACTGCTCAAGAAGGAATCATTAGCCAAGTTTTATCGCCCAGCTCCCAGAAATAAGATCGGATATTTATGAAGAAACATTTCTTGACTATTATATCTGCATTTCCAGGGTCTTCCTTAAAAAAAAAAATCCATAAAAACTGCTGATGCATCTCATTCCCCTCAACACTTGTTTGTCATCTGCCCTTCTGACGTCTGCTACTGTATCCCTTTAATCTATTTTTAAATGACAGCTATTATTTTAATTCTCCTGGTCCCATTGATATCAGGTTCTGTCAATTTGGGTTGCTGGAGTTTTTAAGTAATGGTTGAATCATGCGCCTAAAATAATCATTGCTTCTCCTGAGCAGTTTCAAATAGTCTCATGCTCTCTGTTCTTGCAAGAAATCACTGCTATTAAATTTGATGTTCTTATCAATGAAATTCCAAAAATATTTTTAAAACACAAAATTAAATCTTTCAATCCATGCTGTTACCGAGTCATTTTATTGATAGTTCTTTAAAGCAGTCTGTTGAACATACTTAAAAGGCTTTAAAATGATTTTGAAATTATCTGTAGGATCTGAAGCTGAATCTGTAGAGGCATTTTGGTTTTGTTTGTAAATGTAGCCAGTGAATAATGATAATATTAATAGGTTAAAAACAGATAAATATGTACGTTATTCCAACCCATAAAATTTTAAACGAGAAAGAGAAAGCAACAGGTGTGGTGGAAGAGCGCTAGCCTGAGAGTTAAAATACCATGATTCCAGCCCAGAAGTGGGTTTTCATGGCTATGCCGCTGGGGCAAGTTGCTGAACTTTTCTGTGTTCTAGTTGCCTCAAATGAAAAATAAGGCACTTGAACGAGGTGATCTCAGAAGTTTCTTCTGCTATAAAGTTCTATGTGTCTCTAAATATTTAATACATTTGAATTCAGGTTGGTATTTTACCTGCTGAAACCCCTGGAATATCTGAGCTGAAGTCCTATTTTCATAGAAACTTAGATAGATGGTGTTTTAAAGAATCCATTTCAAATTATTTATAAATAATGACTTCTTAGGAGTTTGTCTATTATTTGCAAAAAAGATTTGCCTATCACAGGGAGGAAAAGGAAGTGGCCGTGCTTTCAGATTTATTCCTCCACACTGACAGTCTCTACCCAATTTGTGTACTCAATGATGGACAAATAGTGTAGAAAGACTTGGCTATATTAACAGATTGTGAGAATATGAAAAACTAAATATTTCATTTGTCTTTGACATAATGGTTGCCTTCCTTTTATGAGCTTCCTTTTATTTGTGATTCCATCATCAACTTTCACTGCGGTGGAAGAAAGTCCCTATTAAAGCAACATTGCCCCCACAATGTTATAGTTATAGAGGTGATTTTAGTTACTGTCATGATAAACACTTGCAGGGAAGTAAAAAAAAAAAAAAAATCCTCTGTTGACTTTAAGGTTCAGTTAGGAGCCCAGAAATAGGCATGTTGCCCTTTTCCACAGTCCTTTCTCTCCTCATTGCCACTTTATCATAATACCCAGGCACTCCTAACTCCATCCACCCTGGCTGTCCCTCCCTTCCTTCCTCCCTTCCTCCCTCCCTTCTCCCTCCCTCCCTTCCTCCCTTCCTTCCTCCCTCTCTCTTTCCCTCCCTCCCTCCTTGACTTAAGCTCCCTTGGTATTCTTCCTTCCTGCCCATAATGTCTTGTCTCTTCCCTCCCCTCCCTCCATCTTCTCCTCTCCTAGTTCAGAAAAAGCAAGTGGATCTCTCTTCTGTTCCCTCTTCTTAGACCCTCACTTTCAGTGGGAGCCGGAGTCTGGTAGCAGGAACTAGGACTCGGGTTCAGGCTGTGTTGCCTTAGACAAGTGCTTAGCTCTCCTGGCTGCAGGCAGGCTCCTTTTCGGTGGTATAACGACAGTGCCTGCCTCATGTATCTATGATGAGGTTCAAGGGAACAAGAGAGATGATGCATATAAAATGCCTGGCACACAGGAAGCTCTCCCCCATTGCCTGCTGCCACTCCTTCCCACCGCTGCCAGAGTCCTTTCACCGGAATATCCTTCTGTACTGTTTTTCTTCAGCCTCCTTACCAACCCCAGAAAAACCTTTGTCTTGATTTAGGAGAGAAAGGATGGAAGACAAACGGATCTGTTATAAGCCTGCTTCCACATGTCTATACTTGGTCCCTGAGTCTCCATCCCTCGCCCTCCTCCCTGCCTGGCAACCTCTCACAAGGCTGCAAACATTCACCTTCTCTACATGTCATCTGCTCCATCCTTAGGTCCTGCCCTCTGGCCTCTGGCCTCCTGCCCTCTGGCCTCTCTATGTTTCTTCTGAAAGACCTCAACACTCTAAATATTGAATTCCAGGGGCCGTTCTTAGTCAGAAGTAATTGTTCTTTGCCCGTTTGCAGCTTTTACCCTGCCTGGCTTTCCCTCCTCGAAATCCCTTTCTTCCTGTATCTTTGGGTTATGATGCTTTTTTGTTATTGTTGTTGTTCTCTTCCTGCATACCCTCAAGGTAGATGTCTATCCTGGCCGCCACTCTTCACATTATCTCCTTTGCCTTGAGTCCCATTTTTATGATCTCTCGCTCCTGCTTCAGCTGTCAGCAGGTTCCCTGCACACACTCGCAGCAGCCTATAGCCAGCATTGTGGCCTTGGAGTTATAGATTGCAAACTACTTGCAAGCACTGTCATCCTCCTGGCATCCTGGTGCTGTACCTTTTCACCTCTAAGCTGTCCTGAGACACAGGTTGGGTGGTTAATAACACAGGCTTTGGAGCCAGATTTCATATTCCTGGTTTGTTGTTTTTTTACCTGGTTTATGACTGTGGTCAAGTTGCTTTGTTCTCTATGTCATGGTGTCCTCATCTACAAGACTGGGATCTCTGTAATTCCTATCTCAATCAGTTGCAGTGTGGACTAAATGAGTTAAAACATTAAAAATGCATGAAGCTATTCATGGCACCTAGAAAGCACTCAATGAATGTTAAGCTGTCTGCATTGCTGTTGCTTCTTGCCTCTCCATAGCCAGCCCACCTGGCTACCAGGCTTTGCTGTGTGCACAGGACCGTCCGGTCAAACTGAAGGACTTCCCATTCCCTGGACCAGCTCTTGGTCCTTCCCAGGCCCCAACCTTCTCATGTCCAAATCCTACTCTGCTTTAAGACCCAGCTCAAATGCTTAGTACCCCAGGAGCTATTACTTCATTTTGTTTTTCTTCCTCCTTGTTCTATCTGATTCTCTTAGGTACTGCTGCATTCCATGTTGTGTTGGGCTATCTCTGGGCATATATCAGTTGGCAGGGAGTCCACCTTGGTTTTCCAAAATGATAGGCACAGGGAGCTTAATGGATATGCTTATTCCAACGAACTGCCTGGAGAAGAGATGGGATGGGATAAGGCACTTGGGGACTAAGCAGCTGAAGGGAAGGGGATTATACCAGTGGCAAGGTGAGGGCATGAGATGAGAAATGCAACAGGGGCACACATGGACATGGTCACGAGTAAATAAATAGCCTACATGGAAGGAGGGTTTGAGTTGGGGACTTCACCTCTGGGGAGATGGAATTGGATAATCTTTAGTCATCTTTGTTTCGGGGGAATGTTGAGTGCTGACATTTGATGGCAAATGATTTTTATGTTAGTACATGCTGTTCTTTTAAGTAGTATAAATTCTTGTTTATCCAGCCTGGTTAGAGAAGGGGTTAGATGGTCTGCCTAATTTAATATTCTGGTTAATACTCTACCCATTGGATTTTGTACATCAACTGAGTAAAACATTTACATGTTTTCAAAAGGCAAGAGAAATCTTATGAAGCTAACTGCCTCTAGCTGCTAACCACTAATTTGAAATGTGTGACATAGGCAAATTAATGTCTTTGAATCTGATTTATCTCATCTGCAAAATAAGGATAATAATAATGATGGTAATAGCAGTAACATTTATTGAACACTGTCATCTTATGTTTATTAACTTGCTTAATCTTCATAACAACCCCATG